ATTTGCGTCTTGATAAATTAAATATAATTTGATTGTGTTATAGCTTTAGAGTTAAATTTTTTAAATGTCTCACTTTTGGTTCAAACCATGTAGGTTAATATTATTAAACATGGCGTTTATTCTAATAAAATGAAAATAAATTTATAATAAATATTTAATTATATATTGTTGAACAAAAATATGACTTACGAATCACAAAGTTTGTGAACCGCACATTTCACACTTTGTTTTGGCCTTAAATATTCTAGATCGGTAAATACCACATTGATAGAACTTAATTAATAAACCTTTTTAATTCGTAAACAATGAGGCGTTTCCTGGAGCGGGGCGTTTTTGCTATATTTACGCCCTCTTGAAGGAACGCCTCGAATCGGTGGTTTCGTTATGTACCTTAAATTTCGATTTCGCATTGAAGTACGGTAACGAAATATCAATAATTAACCTAAAGTATTTTTAGAGTTTTGTTACGATTCCTATCGAGAAATAATGAAAAAACAATACGTGCCGATATATGTAAAATAAAACGAGAAATATAATCACGCACGAAAGCCAGCAAGCAATTAAACACAACTGTTTTATTCGACGACACACCATTTTCGACGCTCTTTCGAAGTAAAAAAATAATGGTACGAATAAACGCGCGTGTCGTAGTACGTTCAATATAACTGTACAGAATTAATAAACACGCTGTTGTGCGCGATCGTCAAACTCGATCTAGTGGCCTCAAGACTATGCGCGCGCGACGCGTTCGACGGATCCGAAATTTTCGTTGCGCATTTAAACGTCCATAAATATAAATTTTCAACGGTGAAGGGACGACGAGTGTGGTAACGGCATCGGGACGAAGATGCGTTGATAGATTACAAGAGTGTACATTATTCGTGCCGTACACAATAGGTATAATGCGGCAGTCGTGTACACACACATTTATTACGATGCACGTACATAAATCGCGCGCAATCGGTGCCGGTGCACCGCGTACATCAATAATACGATCTCGAGTTTATTATAATAATAAAACGTAGTAGCGTCCCGCGAGTCACATGCGTGTACCTGGGCAACGGGTGTTCGTAATGTGCGCACATCGATCACGTTCGAGCGAACGAGCAGCGGAGTACGCGGTTTCGGTGTACACGTATATTATTTATTATATTAATTTTTAACCTGCGTACACGTTGCGCGCACCCTCCCGCGGAATGCGATCGCGCGCAGGGCGTAAACGTTGGCGACACGCACGGGTCAACGAGCGCTGCGAGAGCCGCGTTATTAATAAACGTGCATTGTGCACTGTTTGTCGTAAGACGTAAATGGTGTCGGGCGAACGAGCAACGCACGCGATCGTGGTGCGAGCAATGTTTGACTTGAAGGGTAGGGACGGAGTGCCCCACTACTAATTTCCAGAAATACTAACGTCTCCCTACTATAATTACGTTGTTATTATAACGCTTAACAAATTTTGGGGACGCTCTTTTTTTAAAAGTAAATAGAGTCCCTCTTTTTTAATTTTGCCAAGTCGAGCACTGGGTGCGAGTGTGCGCAGGGCACGTTGTCTGGTCGCCGCGTTCAGGGTGCGACGGGGACGTTTGGGCGCATTGCCGCGACGACGGGACTGGGCTGCTGGACGGATGCATCGTCTTGTGCGGGGCGATTCCTGCGCGCGCGTAACGCCCGACCACCGACGCGATGGCAGGCGATTTATGATTTCGAACCGACCTCGCGCGCGCGAGATTAATATCGTTCGACAAGGGGGTCTTTGTGCCGTTTAACGATCTCGGTGGTATACAATAATACTCACGTCCAAAACACCCATTACAGGGGTCACACGTGCATTACGTATACGAGTATACGTGTGTGGCTGTTGCCGTTGTTGTTGTTGTTGTTGTTGTTGTCGAGACGGTGTTGGAGTCGCGCATAGCTGCGGACGTATGCGCGCGCGTATATCGCGTTTACGTGTTATTGTAAGTGGGCAGGATAATATATTACACACTCGGCGGACGATGAGCTCTATTCATTGCTAATTTGAACATCTTTAGACCGCTATTGATACACACCCCGTCCTGTACACTAACCTAATGCCTACCTACGTGTAATGTAAAACGATGTGGTATTAATAATAATAATGGCGGTAGATATAGTCCGACGCGTAACGTAACGACGTCGTCGCGCGCAGCACCGTAAGCTCATTTGTATCCGCCTCGGCGGTCCGCGTTATTTACATATATACATATGGTTGTGTACGATACAGACCACCGGTGCTGCAACACGCCCGCGCCGCTGTTCGAGACGAACGCGTTCGCTATACAGAGTACTGTATTCGGGTGCATAGGTCCCCTTCCGAGTTCAACGACGCCAACCGTGCGGTACTCGGCGAACCGTATTTCTTACCGAATACCTCATCCGACTATACAGCGACTCGTTTCGTACACATTATTACGCGTCCGTTTGTATTCCGATCGCCGAAAACGTTTAAACGTGACAACGTTCCCATAGTTAATACGTGTTTTGTTACTTCGCGCACGACGAGTCGTACCTGTTCTCGTTTGGTTCGGTCGAATTTTTAGTTTACGTTTTCTGGCCCCATAGATCGAAAAATTGGCCCTCTGGTAAACTAAAGTTGTTCGTCCCCTGGGTACACAATAATATACGCCTTTTCGTCGTTGTCCCAACAACGCGCTCACCTAAATCCACTTGGTGCACGCATGCGCGCGGTATACATAAATACATAATATATTCGTCAACTGATGGGCCGTATACAAAATTTTAAGAAATAAACGAGTCCTCGATTCTCATTACGGTTCTTCGCTTCGTTATTTACGGGCATGCGCTCGGAATCTAGTATATATTCAGAGCATTGTTTATCAAAATTTGGTCTGAATAAATGTAATACTTTGTGTAGCTGTTTATGTATATACTAGTATAAGCGTACGAGTACACGTGCGCCGGTACACATATAGGACGTCATCGTTGATCGGGAAGCACTCAAAAAAGTTAAACGCGACCGAAGAACGCTTTCTATAAAATTTATTCATTTTTTGACAAAGTATTGTATACGACCTGACGTTTAATCAATAATCAGTAATCAAATTATGAAAATCAAACATCATCAGAATTTAGTATCGCTATCGGTGAGCATTAATTTAATAATATATTAAACTGAAAAGTAAGAACGCCCAAAATTCACTAAGTAACTTATTCGATCTTCTTATACGGTATACTTTTATCATATTTTATATTTACAAGATTCGTGTTTATACTATACAATGTATAGTATACATAATACGTATTTAGATTAACGTATTAGTGTGCATACACACTAATTGTGTAGTTATTACTATAGTCTTCAGCAATACATACTGACACATACTATTACATACATATATTTATAAATTGTAAATCATTGTTGTCGGTGAATACATATATATTATACTGTATTGCAATTAAAATGTAAAAACACAATCATCACATTAAATTGATTTACGTAATAACTTTGATATTTTAAGATATATATATATACTTTATACGGTACATTAATTTTTTCAACTGAATAGGTAAGATATTTAAAACTTTATTTTTGAGTTTTCAAAGTATAATATCCATAGGGTCTACTAGCCTGTTTTAAAAAGTGTTTAGTCCCGTGCAGCAGTCGCATTGTAAATATAACATATTTATATATATATATATATATAAAGAATCGAGATCTATATAAGGTTACGTAGTACGAACCGAGGGCGTTAAAAGAAACCCGCAAACCTTAATTAGGAGATAGATGTTAAACCGTAATAAAAAAATGAATGTAATAATAATAATTTCGCCGGGAGGTATATTGTACCTGTATGTACGCATGTGAGCGTGTACACCTCTCAGTGCTTTACACAACGCTCAATAATCATGCATCTATATGTTATAGAGTTGCACAACAATTTTATAATGACGGCGGTGGCCCCCACGGTTAGGCGTAAGTACATTTGTTTTTTTCGCCAAGATGTGTTTTCACGCTACGCGCACACACGCTCAAGCGCACGCGCGCGCGCACGCACACACACACACACACACACACACACACATACACTCGATCTTAACGAGCTGCAAGGCCGCCGTCGTCACTAGAGTGTGTAGTGTTTTTTGAATAATAGAAAAGTTGCGGTCCAGCAACACACACACACGTAATACACGTATACATATATTATGTATGTGTATACGTGTAGTACTTATAATAATAATAATAATAATAATAATACAAAATAACAGCGGCAGCTATACGTTGTCGAGTGACCCGGCAACGTCGAAAAACGCACCCGAGACGCGACGGCTCACGGTTCTCGGCTACGTTCCCCCATTTAAGGACTGCCGGCGCGTTTATACCACCACGCCCTTGTCCCCCGCCTGAACATGGCTCCGGCATTTCAATAATAGTAATAATAATAATAATAATAATGGGAGAAATATTTCGAAATTAAATATTCAGGCGCGCAGGGAGATGCTGCGCACCGATCATCGCATGGGATTAAATATATTTCTATATAAATATATATATGTATAATACCACGCTACGCGTACGACTATCGCAAGCCATCAGAAGTGTATAATAGCTTAGTACAATGCGATAGAACTATACGCGAAATTCGTATAATATTTTAAACATATTTTTCCATTAAAAAGCGTTAATACATTCCTAATGAAACGTATCGGAAAAGACAGATTATATTTTTCGAATCACTAAATAAAAAGATTCCGTAATGAATATTTTTCAAAAAAAAAAAAATAAAAAAAATATTATAAAAATTGTATAAACAGTTGACCGAAACATGTTGGACGTTCACCGAAGTTTCTTTGCTTGTATTCCACCTTGTCGCGTATACAACAGATGTAGCAAATAATAAGAGCTCACCAACTATGTGTGAACACGTATGTGTAATATTACACGGCTGAATCTATGATGTTATGAATATATGATTGATTTCTTTGCGCTTATGAAACGTTTTTCTTTCTTTTGATTTCAGCGAACGGCGCGTATCAGCCGGTGGACGTGAAGAGACAACGGACCGCGTACACCAGGTACCAGGTGTTGGAACTGGAAAAAGAATTTCACTTCAACAAGTACCTGACCCGTAGACGGAGAATCGAAATCGCTCATTCGTTGGTGCTGTCGGAGCGGCAGATCAAGATATGGTTCCAAAACCGTCGGATGAAGTACAAGAAGGACAACCACTTGCCCAACACGAAGAACGTGCGCAGGAAAAATGGGAGCTCGCAACCGGCGGGGAAAAAATCCCGAGCTAAGAACAATAACAACAACAACAACAGCAACAGCAACAACAACAACAACCATCAACAGCCGCAGTGTTCGCCGACCGGGTTGAAAATCGATACGCACGACATGTCGCCGCAACAACAACCCGAATTGAGGTTACAAAACGATACCGGGTCGTCGTCGCTGATGGCCACCATTCCGTCGTCGTCGACGTCTTCTTCCTCTTCGTCGTCTATCGTCGCCGCCACTACCGCCGCTGGACACAACAATCCGACATCCACCATGCAGCAGCAGCAGCAGCAGCAGCAGCAGCAGCAGACGCACCACCAACAACACCAACAGCAAATGCAACTCATGTTGAACCACCAGTCGTCTCACCTGTCGCAACACTTACAACAGCAACAGGGTCTGTCCATAGTGGGCCCCGGTGAGTACGACCTCACCCAGCTGTAACGGCACGTTTGACCGCACGCGCGCCCGTTTTCCAAGGTATAAGTTACTTTATATAAAATGAAAATAAACACGATAAAAAAAATTAAAGAAAATTAAAAAAAAAAAAAAACCACAATGCAACAACGATCAATATTACCGCTGCACGATAAGTGTGCGCATTGTCAAATATCTCTTCGTCGTGAGCAGTGAGGATACAGGGTGTTCAACCAGAGTGAATACTTATATATTACGCGATTTATATGGTATATTAAATGTACATAGATCTGTACCCGTAAACTCGTCGAACGCTGTGTACTACACGTTATAATATATGTGTTCGATTATTATTTTTAACACACGTGATAAACAATGTGGTATATGACGTGTTGAGAAATCCGCACACGTACGCGATTCCACAAACAGAAAAAATGTTATTGCCGAGATAAAAACTGTATAACCGGCAATAATTCCTACATAAATTAAATCGTAACTAGTATATTTAAATCTTCGCGCAAAATCGTTTTTGACACACGGTAAGAACTGCAGTTTATGTTTATGTATGAAAATAATGTTATTTAATGTTAGTACTCTTATACTTAGATCTTTTTTTGTTCGTCGTTTTATTTTCGTTACGGTTAAAAAGAATATACATATATAAACGAATAACGTATAATTTATTAAACAGAATACGATAGATGACTCGTATGATTATAAACATATTATGCAAGTGTTATGCTAAATGGATTAATGAAAACAGCTCATTGTAAATTTTTGATTATTGAATTACTAAGAATCGTATTTTTATTTTATTTTTTTTGAAACTTTTTTGTGTACATAGAAATCACGAAAACACAAGCTCATTTATTTATTTGTCTGTACAATATATACCTATGATATTCACATTGCTGTAAAATGTAAATTTTTTTGTGACTTTTTCGAACAGCTAATGGAAAGCTATTTCTTGTTTTATTGTCGATGTATTAGAATGCATTTTTTTTTTTTTTTTTTTTTTTTTACTCGAAGAAAAAAAATAAATATTTTTAAGCTGTGTACACCTACATACTTGTACATACATATATTATTATATTATATACTTTAAGAGTTGCTATATATTTTCAATGTTTGTTGTTTCATTATATATTTTTTTTCGTGTTTCCTTTTCCATAATGTTGAGTCTGATGTAATATTATATGTTTCAGTAGTTATATAAACATATAAACCGTATATTGTTGTGTACGCGTATTAACTGAACAACGAAACAAACAAGTATATATATTTATAAATATATATATTATGGAGAAAGCAAATGAATAAATATAAATCATCATTAAACGTGACATTTTTTTTTTCTTATATTTTATTTAAACCTCCTTGTCGGCGCGACGGTGTTCTGCCTTCGACCGTTTCGGACGTTTTCGCCAGCACTTCGGGTAGCAGCTCACGTATTTTCGCCGACCCGGTGGGTGAAGGGCCGACGGGTTCCGGAAAACAATGTTAGCGTCGAACTGCACCCGTGCACGAGACCTGGTACGAGACGTGCAACGCGAAACAATCGAACGGCAACACCCGACGCGATTATTTATTAAAATTATTTCGCGCGGCTCTCGCGATAGGGAACCGCGCCGCTGCCGTCACGTCTCCGACCTCTGCCTGCGCGCGTCACACGGATTCTATTATGCGGCGGTCGCAATATAACATTGGCACTACCGCGGTCGATACCCGGTCCTTTTCGCGCGCAACCCACGAGCGCGACGTTGTTACCACTCGGTGGGAGCGGCATGAGTTTCCCTACCTATGGGAGGAGACGGGGGGGGGGAGGAAACGTTTCGAAAAACATAATGAACGTTTTTTTTCTCTCTCACTGTCTCTCCTCGTTTTCGTTTATTCTCTCCGCGCTCATCACACGTACAATAACAATATGCACTGTCTTAAAACCGCGTGCAAGTGCGGTGTACGCTGCTCTATTATTGTGACAATGTGTACGGCGACAAAAGTTTACCGCGGCGCACGCGAGCAGCATTGACGGCAGCGTAAGCGCGAGCAGCAGCAGCAGCAGCGGTTGCCGCCGACCTTGGGCACGGCCCAGACGGTATTCCGGTGCGCGACAACAATGGTAACGTTCGCGGCCGCGAGGTGAAGTTAAACAAGAAAAAACCGAAAAAAAAAAATAATAACAACAATGGTCCGCGTCGCAAGGTGCGTATACGACGTGCGCGCGCGCGTCCCTTTTGTCTTTGTGCCGCGCGCGCACATATATTGTACACAAACTCTAATTAACTCTTTCTACGCGTACGAACTGCCGCCACCAATACTTCCTACGCGCATGCACTATGGGACTATGGGAGGTAGTTACGTACATTGCGAGAACGTGCGTGCGTGTGTACGGGAAATCGTCACAATGAAGTAGACTTATCACGTATTATTACGCTCGTTGGAACGGTGTACACATGCAATAAGTGTATTGGTAACTATATAAAAATGTTAAATGTATAATTGCATATTGATCAGTGATGCCCAACTTCGTGCCGGTCGGCCGTCGCTCGACGAAGACGTCATATATTTTTATTTATTTATTCAAATATGCGAACATAAGTCCAATTAAAACTTTTTTAATGTATATAAAAATACAACAAATTAGTGTTAAAAAAAAAATAAATAATATTAACGGTTTATGCAACTATGCACAGACTGTGTATATATAAGTAATCTGTTTACAAAAACACAATTTAATCATACCCGCGTAGGTATGTGATTATTCATCGATTACAAACATAAATATATCGAGTAAGTTTACTCGTCTATGATTCTCGACTAATTGCTAACGTTTACCTAGATATGTGGAAATGGTATTAATTATTAGCTATTTTTTCCAAATTTTAGCCATACAATGTTTAAATGCAGACTCATTTAAGATATAATAATTTTTTAACTATTATCGAAATGTTTGTCCGAAAATTATCATTTAGGTCGTTAGAACCGGTTTGATTTTTTATTGGTCAAGCAGACACATTATTTAAGGTAAATGAGAAAATATACAAATCTTATACCCGAGGAATTAGACACATCTTAGATAGTTAAAATATCCTGAACTACAAACCACTACTTTTCGTATTCTTTTTGGAAGGTACGTATGTACATGGCCATAGCCATTTTCCTTCAAAAACGAAATACCGTTTTCCTCCACTTTCCATTTTCCACCAAAAAAAAATAAAAAAATATGTGTATTATCCTCCAATATTTTAGCCACTGTCGTAGGACCACATTTTGCGCGTATCTGTTGATTAAATTCTGGTCACGTTCTTATCGGCTAGGGAAAAACGCTAGTTCAAGTGTGTTCGACAGCACTCACAGTTTATAACAGTATATAACTTAATATTGTAACTTTGATTACGATTAATAAAGATACGTTCATATAACATACGACCATATACGTATATATTTATATTGTTTTATTGTGTATCATAATTTAACACTGATTATTATGATTACACTCATTGAGTGACAGACACACAAATATGCGATAAACTCGTATCAATAATACTACATTTTTAGTAGCTTACTGTAGTGTCTATATTGTATTTCATAGTTTTGATGAATCTATCTAATTTTAATTTTTAACATGTCTGAAAAAGCGACATTTATTGAAAGTTCTCGAGGAAAACCTTTGATAATTCGTGATTGTTACAAATATTTTTTAGAGTAAAAGTTAAAATCAGAATCTGGATTATCATGTTGGTGATGTTTTTTAACTACTTGTCAATAAAACTGAAAAAAATAGTAGTCAATGTTCTTTTATTTCTAATTTATCATTCGACAACGAATGACGATTTTATAATTTTATTTTTTGGAGGAAAATGGTCAAGGATTATTATTATTATTATTATTTGAGGAAAATGGACTGTGGGGGAAAACGGTATCTCGCTTTTAGAGGAAAATTGACCCTCCCATGTACATGTGTATCAATACCGATAAAAGTATAACGTATAGAAAATAAAAATCTCGACTACATACGACTATAATTTCTAATATTTCCTTTCCGTATCCGCCATAAATAGGTTACGTTTTGTGTTGGTATAATATTCCGAGTTACTAAATGAAGAATGTACACAGATTGTTCATTATTTTCTCGCGTATTCGTTTTTCCCGGATGTAGCATAGATATGTACGATAGCGGTACTGCAGTGCACATCATATGATCGTTGCCGCGTTATGAGCACTGCACTTAACAGCTGCAGTTGCACCCTATCGTATGTCGTGCGCGTATTATATTTTTTGTACGTGCTGCGTCATTGAGCCGCCGCCGTCTGACGATCGTCGCGTATGTACTTCATACCCGTCTATCTTCGCACTGTACGCGACGTAACGCTGTACACATGGTAAAACGTCTCGTATTGTACAACTGCAACGGGTGTGGATCCGATCAATACCGAGCGTATTGCATTTACAAGTAATTAACTTCAATTCGTCTACACGAATATTACAATAAATCCATATATGCAATGATTCGTGTCCATCGTCCGCTCGATATGAATGTACTTTTAAGAATATTAAATTAATGAGCCTGAGTGCCATTCTCAATGGATTTTTTTTTGAAAATACTGCATAATATATAGTATAGGTATACATATATATATAGTGGCACCGATATCGATATCGCCAGTGCTCGAATTTGGGAGGGGGTGCAGGGGGACGGATCTCCTCTACTATTTTTTTTTTTTTTTTTTGCGTACCCCAACTATATTTTTTCACCGGAACGGGAGCACGTTCATCCTAATTGATGTCCAAAATAATTTTTATGTGAATTTCAATTTACGTCATTTGGAAAATGAATTTTATGATTTATAATATCAAAACTATTGTTATAATTAAAAATTATATGGCGGTAATGATAAGGAACAACGTCGTCATTTCTGGAAAAATATAAATAGTAATGTCTGTGAATTTGGTGTATTATAATTTATGTTACTTTATACATTGTACGGTTTGTTATTAATATTGGCGATCGATGATATCGTCATTTCGGAAAGAAATAAATGCCTTCACCACGACCCTAGACTATTCTTCTAAGACCGTGGCCCGCACTAAAGAGTAAAAATAAATAAAAACAAAAACCAAATATATGATTATATCATTCGATTCATGGGACTGCCTGATCGCCTGCAATCACCTATGTTAATTATTA